ACCCACTTTCACTCACCCTTTCGAGTGTACCTACTTCATGCTCATGCATCTGCTGAATGGAGAGTTCTGAAAATCCTCTGCTGTGTATCTGCACTTCAACAGGAATGTCCAGAGCCCCATTTGTAAACCACTCAGGCACTGAGGCTCCCAGAGGACCCACTGAAGGATCTCCTGGACGAGGAACAAACGGGTCTCACTTGTTATACCACCTAGTCAAACGCAGCCACTTACCACCACCGCGCACTCCCCCTTTTCAGGGTAAGTCAAGTACTAGAGTGTGAGACGCGTCCATCCAGTCAGGAAATATTGAATGAACAAGCAGACGGGGAAGGTTCTTGTGCAGGGGGAGTGGGAGGAAGGGTAGTTCTCAGGGGAAGACTTGAGGCCACTTCTATGATCTCCGACTTCACCTAAACACAGTAGCCAGAGGAGAAGATAGTAGTGTTGGTGAAACGTTCTCCTCCTGCCAGTCTGAAGCTCTACGCCCTTGGACTTGGAGGTCATTCATTCTACAGAAATTTATTGAATACCTGCCAAGTGCCAGGTGCCAAACGAGGCTCAGGATATGCTTCCCGAGGATGGGGACAGAGTACAGAATACACTGTCAGCCCATTGGGGGAGGAGGGGTGGAGGGAATGACAAAGCACAGTGATACCACGGCCACTCTCCTGGACTCTTCCAGACAGGTTCAGGCTTATGGTTTGTCTCCAAGACCCTGCCCAGGGCCAGCTTCAAATCCATGAGGACCTGGAGGAGACAGTAATTTCCTAGTTACCTCCTTAATCTCAAACTCACTGCTGACGCCAAAACTGGGAAAACTAGGTCAGACACTCAGTGGGCAAGGTCAGGGAGGACAGGAGGGTGCTGGTGAGCTGCTGGTGAAATCCAGCAGTTAAAGTCCGCCAGCTTTAACCCCTGCATTATGCTGTCCTATCTTCCATCACTTTGGAATTGGCCCTCTGTTCCAAAGGACTGGCTAGTCTTGTTCTCCTCCCAAGGGAAGGGAAGAAGAAATGCCATGACTGCAGCACAAATAGAACAGGCACAGAGCTGGACACATGTCACTCACCCACACAGGGTTCCTGTGAGACAGGATAACTATTCCCATTTGATTACTGAGGGAAGTGAAAAGATTCGGAAGGAGCAGAGCTGTTATCTGGAGTTGATCGTCCAGTTTAGAACTTCCAACCACGGACTATATAAAGCTGTTTCGTATCTGTTGCCATCCCCCACCACATCCCCAAGGGCCAAAATGACCACTGTTTGATTTGGGGGATGATATGAAGAGGCTAATGCCAGATATTTCTTTGTGCAGAACCTGAATCAGATTTAAAAATTATCAACTGCATGAAAAGTGAAGGCTTCTGTCAAGAATATTGTAACTATATGGAAACACAAGTAGGCTACTGCTCTAAAAAAAAAGATGCCTGCTGTTTACACCAAAACTGATGTTGCTGATAACGAAGTCAAAGCTCTGCCCACCTTCCTGTTTTCCTACATCATGTTGTCAATCCACATACAGGTTTTTGGGAGAAGTGTCTGAGCAGCAAAGAGCTGAGGTATTGCAATCTGTGCTAGAGAATGTAAACATTTTATAGTGGTAAAATAAATGATAAATCTGGCTACACATAATTTTGCAGAAAGTTATTTAGCTTGGGATGTACAGAATTTTCAAAATCACACATTATATGCTTGTAGATATGGATGTAATAAATTTCCATAGAAAAGCATTAAAATAATTTCTCTTTTATTTAACATATTTTTTGAGCACCTACTTTTGTTCTAGGCACTGAGAAATGTAGTGTATTGGAAACATGAATAAGATCTGCGGGGAGGCAAACATCTAAGCAAATAAAAACAATAAAATGCTATGTATGTTGTAATGTGGATATTGCCTAGGTAGACAATATGTGCAGCAGATAAATATAACAGAATCAAGAAAGGGGTCCTAGGGAAACCTGAGAAGGGTTTTGAAGGATAATAAAGAATTTAAGTTCAGAGAGAAGCAGAAATTTCCAAGCAGAGGGTATAGTTTATGAAAACGCATAGAGACATGATGTAGTGAGTGCTTATAATTTTATGTTGCCCGGCATCTATTTTTAAATATGTTTAACTTTCTCATTCCAGGAGCAGGGGCTCAATGGTCCTTGACACAGTTTCCAATTCTATACCCCATCTGAATGGCTTTAGCTGGTTAATTTTATGTTGCCCGGCATCTATTTTTAAATATGTTTAACTTTCTCATTCCAGGAGCAGGGCTCAATCGTCCTTGACACAGTTTCCAATTCTATACCCCATCTGAATGGCTTTAGCTGGTGGCCAGAGGTAGAACTTGAGGCCTCTCTCCTGCCATCAGGCTTTCCTACTGCTTTCCCACTGCTTTCTTTAAAAGGACCACAGACATTTGCCCTGAACTTAAAGTGACCACCTTTCAGTCACAGTGTGACCTCCTAGAACCAGTGCCTGCTTGCTTTAAACCTGCCAATTAAAGCTCCGTGCTGGAAACCTGTTTGCATAATGCCCTGGATCCAGTAAAGGCATTAGCCCATGGGTAACCTCTCTCTCTCTCTTTGCCTGTGCTCTCTGACCTCCGTGTGTGTGTGTGTGTGTGTGTGCGTGTGCGTGTGTGCGTGTGTGTGCGTGTGCGTGTGTGCGTGTGTATGTGTGTGTGTGTCCCTAATCCTACCCCTGACAGCCGGGCCACACAGAAGGAGCCCATGAAGGTAGGATCCCCTGCTGAGGACAGTAGTTACCAGCTGAGATGATAGAGTTTCATTCAAAACACATGAAAGTATGATTTGCTAAATAAATGGGGAGAAGTTCAGCATAACTGCAAAAAAAAAAAAAAAAGGAGGTTAATTAGTAGCAGCAAATGAGGCTGGGGTAGAAAAATGGTGTGAAATTGTCAAGGCAAACAGATATTATGCTAAAACCTTGGACTGCCAAACAAGAAGAAGTTATCAGGTGCTCCAGGAGAGCACCATATTCAGATTTTCAATGTTAGCATGCTCACTCTAACAGCAGACTCAGGGATAGGCTGGAAATGTGTGGGAGTAGAGGCAGGAAGATGAGGTAAGAGATGTTTCCAACAGTCGAAGTTCAAGGAGCTCCTCAGTGACTAAAGTAGAGGTAACAGATGTCAAGAAGACAACAAGCAAAAGGTACTGAAGAAACAGAGTTTACAGATTTGGTGGCAGAGAAGGGTTGGCAGTGGGATGGAAAGGCGCTGTGAGCCAGGGCTGCCCACAGATAGGGCAGGAGGGCAGGGGGAGGATTGGTTTGGCTGTGGACATGTTGAACTTGAAGGCATTCACAGACGTCCAGTGGCAAGCCGAATCCCAGGAAAAAGAAGATGGGAAGTGAAAGAGTAGAAGTCATTTGCCAGTAGGTGGTATCTGAAAAGTCAGAAAAGACTTCTAATCTGTCACCCAGAGACAGCTTTCTGGAGGAGGAGAGGGACGATGCAGATGTTTAAGCGAGGCATAGGAAATGAGGAGAGGGAGAGGGGTCTGAGAGCTGGGAAGTGAATGAACTGAAACAGTACTACTCTAGAAGAGAAGGATGGAGAAAGTTCAGTGGTGCCCGAGACAACAGGAAGTGACACAGCATCAGGGCACCTTGCGGGCCCCAGAGTCTCGTCGGCAGCACACACCCTGTGNTGTGGGTGAAGGGACAGGGATCCACTGTCATGGTTAGTTGTTGGTCTCCTTCATGAGATGGAAACATCACATGAGCTTCATTTTCTGTCCTTACTTTGAGTCAAGTAAAAGTCAGATTGAAAAAAAGTGAAGGATGCCATCTGTCTCTCCACCTTTTCTCAGCCACAACATCTAGTTGACGGATTGGGCATGAGAGCACCTGGCCCCTAGTTCCACTTCCATTATGAATATAGCCTTGAACATTTAACCTCAGTATGTCAGTGTCTCTTAAGTGATGA